CAACTAAAGGTTGAGAAGTAAGAAACAAGCCTGACAGTATGAGCAGGAACAGATATTAGGTTAACAGGAAGTAATATAGCTTTACTGGTAGTAGCCAAACTGCCCTGAGTTGCTTTAGTTAAAAAGGTTTGGCCACAAAAGAGGCGGTAGATCAAACAGTAAAACTTTATCAGATTTGTTCCATTCTAATCATTGAGAAACAGCAAAAACAAAACACAAAAACTCACACAAGTAAGACCATTAAAAGAAAAAGGAGCGGAGCTATTAGTACATGCCAATTTATAAATGGCAAGTGATTCATGCATTAAGAAATAGGGGTAGAGGAACACTACAGTGTTAATATGAGAGCCTGCATGTTTACAAACCCCAGACAGTTCATTTTGGTACAGTAGAACTGCTACCTTTAATTCCTTCTCACTGCCTAGAATGGGAAACTTAGCAGATATGATTACTGTTGTCTCTCAGGAACGTTCAAATCACTGTAATCTGCTTAATTTTATAATATATCAGTGTTCAAAGTTCACAGAAGTACAAAAAAAATTGTTTCAGGGGGAGAAGGGAGCAATTATTTATCATTAGCCTGGGGAGTTAAGGGAGATAACGTAATGCTGATTGAGACTTGTGTCAGATTTTAAAAAATAAAAAAATTAAAAAAAAAAAATTCTATTGCTTTTAACAAATATTTTCTGTTTTTCCCACTGAAAGACCACAAGGCAAAATATGAAGAGAGAAAGAAGGAAAAAGCTTTCAGAGTTTTGGTTAAATCATATTAAAACAATGTATAAATGTACCATCAGGAATAACGTTAGATTTATCTCTGCATTTCAGGGAAATCAAACCCCCAGAGGTCAAAGAGTTTGCTAAGTGGGTGGGGGAGTGAGAGAACATTTTAAAAAATCATCCTCTAATTTGGAGCCAAGGTCAGTGATTTAAACTTTAATGCTCATCTTGAAACCGAACACACAATGAGCATAGGTGGAACCATCCCAACTAGCAATTACCCAGAGCCAGGCAAACAACAGCAGAAGTAACTATTGCTGTCAGTGAATTAATGTTTTCAAAACATAACATCAACCCTGCCAGTTTGCTAGCCTCTGTTCACTTCGGATGGTGATAACTCGCTAAGCCACAATACTCAGCCGCATGTCTAGCATCTAGCTATATCAGGAAACTGCAACTGTTACACATTTGATGCCACCAGGCAGTTTCATCTGCAGCCAAGACATTAACATTTAGTTCCCCTTCACTTCAGGACTCAGTCTCACAGTCCATGACAAAAATAAATTAAAAAAAAAAAATGCCAGAGGAGCTGGCTACCATTTATATCGGAAGTTCAGTACCTCTTTACCAGCGAACACTCATGACTTCATTCTTGCACATATGTGGGCAAGTATCTTTTTCTGCAGAATTAAGCAGTCTTGTAGGAAAGGGGAAGGGAGGAAGGGAAAGAAGCAGAGCATTCTAAATGACTCCATTTCAGGAGATCCGACTAAACCTTCCCCAACATGCAGTGGACCTTGTTTCTATGCAATCATATGGTTCACTGCTCATTTTTTAACCCAAATTTAGCTCTACCCACACAAACAGGTGCTGTCTTAATGCTTATTACTGTAAAATATTGACCTCAACATGATGAGTCATAAGTAAGAGTTTCTAGAAAAGTTTACTAACTATATGAAAGAATCCTATAGCCTCTCAAGTTACCACAACAGACAACTATTCTGGGGTCTCTTTGCTTCATTTTTGTCTCACATTTTGTATTCGAAATTGCAGTGCTAGCCTGTAACCTTCCACTTTGGTAACCTAGGCACTCTTTGTATGACACTTCTTAGGTATAGAGGAAAGTAGATAGACAATCGCAGTGCTGTGAGAACAACTCCAGCTCTGTAACAGCAGCAGAAGACTAATTTCCTTGAACATTTAAGAAAAATCAAAGCCACTTATGGAAAGGAAGAAACAATACATTTCATTTGTAGCTGTCAGAAAGTGAAAATGCTATGGGAATTTTACCACACTTCTTTTCAATAGGCTGCTTTAAAATAATACCAATATCAATTATATATTTTAGTGAACCCAATCCAGCACTCTGTGAGTTGAGGCATGGGAGGTGAACTATAATATCTATCTGAAAGGAAGATTCATCTTGTGGTTTACTTCTCCAACACAAGCTCAAAGGCATTGCTTCTCTGGCTGTTTAGCAGAGTGTGATTCAAGGAGGAACAAATGCTCAGTGAGAAATAAACAAGCAAGGAACTGGGGTATCTCTCAATACAATCAGATCATAAACATGGATCTGAGGATTTAACAGTCCAATATATTATTTGAGAAAATAAGTTTATGCTTGAGCAATTAAAGTTATCAATATTCCAAAAAAAGCAGAGAGGGAACCTATACTCATTTTTCAAAAACACTTCCTAAAGTATAGAGAAAAAGCCTATTACTTTTTACACAACCTCAGTCCATTAACTACACTGGAGTTCCTTTTCTGATATGCAGTGTTATCAGAAGTTAGCAAATATTTCTCTAATGCCTAAGGGTGAATATTTTTGTTAAATAAACGGACAGTTTACAATACAAAACTTGGTTTATCTAAATCAAATGAAGACTATTTTCTCACTAATTGGAATGTATGAAGCAGTTGATATTCCTCTAAAAAATCATATCAGACTGTAACCCTTATCACTGATTGAGGAAGAGTGTTTTGTTGGCTTTTTTTTTTTATTATCTAGATTATTCATTAATTCAGAGTTAATATATCCAAAGGACTGTGAGCACTTGCTAAACCTCTGAGTTCCACCAACTTCCAATTTTGAGTTCATCTCTTTTCAAAGCGGCATTGATGTTTTAAGTGTTGCTCCAGAAAAATCAAAGTGATACAGTAACTATTATGGAAGATTTGTTGCTTTTGTATTTATGAATCTAACAACTGTAACAGTGTTCCATGGGTAAAAAGTATAGCCTTCTGTCCACTGGAAGATATAGAGGTACTGAACTGAAAGATATTTAGCAGGTATTGTACATTGACCCAGGCGACCTTGACTGCAACAAGGAAATCAATCGGGAATGGAGGAGGCCAAAGTTGAAGGTTTCTTGGTTATCAGTAAAGCAAGTAAATGGCAGTCATCACATACAAAAGAGCAACAGATATTCAAATCTCAATGTAGGTGTACTGAAGTATATTACTTAGCTGTAAATTCTTTTCTCTGGTTGAGGGTCATGCAACTGATTGTGAGAATACTGTCACTTGCTTCAAAAGGCCAGCGAAGGTAGAATAAAATGAGAGTAGTTTGACAAATCTGGAACACCAGTGGAATCAGTAGGTGTCCATTCCCCAAGGTTTTGTCTTTGTAGCAGGGGCTCACCATGTCTCCTTTCCAGAGGATGACCCAGCTGTTAGAGGAACTAAAAATGCTAAAATTGTGTGATGGTACAAGAGGGAACCATCAACAGTTTTCTGGTGGTGTCTGCATCACAAAGATTATTTAATATCAGGTGCTTGTCATATTAATTAAAACAGTATGATGAAAATGGTCTGTGCTACATCTCCTTTGAACTACAATAGCTGCATTCTCCTAGAAACCCACAGCCACTGAAGTTGGTAAAGGGCTTTGGGGAAAAGGCAGAAGGCCTCATACAGTGTTCAAAATTGTTGAGCTTGTGCCCAAAGGATAATAGGCACTCACTCCTCTCTCACTCCTCCATCAGCCCTGCCTGTCCCTTACCAACTCTTCCATGACTCCCAGTACCTCACATCACCCCTAGGTCCACCAGCCCTTACCCAGCAGTGCTGTAGCAGGGCAAGTCTCTAGCTCCCGTATCCATGCTCTTAAGACTGTTAGCACAAACCCTAGCACACTTTCAGTATGCCTCTAGACAATATCTGGCATTGCTCAGAGCAAGAACAGGTAAGAGTTCTTTCCCAGACAGCATTTGGGGTGCAACCATCCAGCTTAGGGAAATGAAAGGAGCAGTTAAGCAGCTTGGTGTCACATATGCTGCACTGCCTCAGAGTCATAAAATAACTCCAGGCTCATTTTATCTATTTTCATAGGCTGCTTTTGAGTCTATGGTTGGATGCTAAGGTTACCTTTGTGCTAGGAAACAAAATAGATCACAAATTATTCTTTGAACCTGAAGATCACAAGCTACAACACAGATGTTGTCCATATAACTCAATGTTCTCTCTGTATAAAACATGGTGGTGGCATGCACATGCCACCCAGCTAGGAACAGACTCAAGCACTGTCTCAGAGATAAATATGTCAAAAAACTGCCTGAGAGAGTATGGTAGCTTTAAACAACTTGGATGATCAGAATCAACTGCTTAAATGCTGGCCCTCTTTAATTTACTGGGTTAGGCAGAGCCTCAGAGGTCAACTATAGTCTCTGATTTTTTAATTGTTTCTAAACACTATGGTGTTTGAAATCATGCATTCATTGCTAGGATTTTCTTGCTTTTTCTTCTTGTTACTCATTGTGACTCAATACAGATTGGCATAATCCTTGTCTATAAATTGATTAATAATGGGATGCCCAGGCAACCACCAACCAACATGCCAGCAAAGTATGGATTTATAAGGTGGTGTTATAAAATTTTATATTTTGATCTGTAACTCCCATTTTGAGGAAGCAAAACTTGTGCTTTGCTTTTTCTTTTTGATGGCTCCTAAGCAGAGAGCTGGTGTTTTCATGGAACTATTTATCACAGTACCAAAATCTCACTTCTGAGTATTAATGGTCATCCCAGAGCCCATCATTCTACATGAGAAATTAGGATAATTTCTTCTGTAGATGTGCAGCATTTTTAATTTACCTACATTGAGTTTTATGTCATTTTACTGCCTAGCCTCACAGGGTTTGTTTTCAATTCTTCACAGTCAACTGTCTTCAATGCTACAATTAGTATTGTATTCTATTACAAATAAATAAATAAATAAATTTCATCTGAGTGTTCACACCTTTTCTAGAACACTTAAATATAAATTTTTTTTACTGTTCAGGTCCCAGGAGAGACCCTCACAGATTCCATGGGCAACACTCCAAGGCCAGGGATGTATACCAGCTTCCCTTGGGACAATGATCTTCACTCTCTATCCTTAGGCCTCAAGATTCAGCTAAGTTCAGGATCTGGCCCACAGTCCTATCATGAAGTATACTGTGAGTAATCCTGTAGGCAGCCCTGTTCCCTTCTACTCCTGACTGTCCCTCTGACATTGTCTTACCTTCTCTGACTGTGACCAGAGTGTTGATGAAAGATGTCACCTCCAACAGCTCCAGGTCGTGGACCAGCATTGCACTTGCGACTACCTGACTGAAATAAGACAGGAATATAAGTTAGGTTTGCTAACAAAACTGATATCATAATGCTGTATGAATGCGAGAATGGAAGAAAATAAATGAGAATGCTAGGGTATAAATGTTAAATGAGGAGAACACAGTAAACAGTTTAACTGCATCCAGAAAGAATATAGGAATTTGCGTATTTCTAATTGTCTTACTTTAGTAGGAAATTTAGTACTGCTATTCAGAAAGAAAACAGTGGGGCTTTAATCTGCTTTAGAAGGAGATCAAAGTCGTCAGAGCAGAACAGAAAATAAGAATGAGAAAATTCAATTATAACCATGTAGCCGGAAGAAATGTCATACTGAGGAATGATATAGTTTTAAATATCATGAATGACTACTTGTTAAACTTCCTAGTCAGAAAACCCACAAGCGAAGGAGCAATTTGGCTCAAGCTTGAGTGGATGAGATGTGGTTTTCAAGGTTACTTTTGAAGACTTGCTCTGTAATTATGACTACTATATATTCAAATTTAGCATTCTTTGCAAGAATGAAGCAGATTTAATTTCAAAAAAGAGAACATAAAAACGAAGAAGCTTGTTAAAAACAAATTAAAAGGAACACAGAAGAATAAAATACTTGCAGACAATCTTGAGATTATTTAAAGAAACTAAAATTGAGTTTCACTCTAAAAAATAACTACAGAAAAAAAAAAGATGCAAAAAAGTCAGAACCAATAAAATAACAGAATAAAGAAAGGTGGTAAAAGTTAAAAAGTCTTCCTTTAAAAAGCAGGAGTCTTATCTGAAAAGGGTAACAAAATAAAGACCATACATTCAGATAAATCAAATGTAAAACCGCAAATGGCAGATGGAAAAAAAAAAAAAAAAAAAAAAAAGAAAATTAACTTGGGCAAATAAAACCTTTCTTGCTCCCTTGTGGAAAACGTGTAAAGTAGCATAGAAAAGTTAAAACTCATGGCAAAAACAAACAAACAAAAAAAAATCAATTTTCACTCAAGAAGAATCTAGATTTACAGCCACTTTCCTGATAAAAGGTAAGTTTTTTGCAACCATCAAATAGAACAAACTGATAAAATAAATTCAAAGGAATCACTTGAGCTCCACTACATTTAACATCAAGTGGTATGGTAGTCAAAGTGTGAAGCTACCTCATCATTACTGTAGTTGTAATCTACTTACTAACCCTGTCTCAGTGCCAAAGAAATAGACTAACAAGTGAAAAGAATCTTCTTAAAGGGGAAATGAGAGAGGTTGCAAGTAACTTACTACAGGAGATGTGAGTGCTATGCAGTAATATAGATAGAAACTACAGAAAATAATAAATCTGCTCAACACAGGATGTCCTAGTTGTACTGGAGCAGCTTTTGTTGCACAAAGTAAAGGCTCAGATGCATAACTATTCGGATTCATTGAAAGTTCAACAGGTGTATTGATAAAGTTTCTTGAATTTTCCTGAAATCTTTTGACAAGTCATCTCTCCATCAAAGCATAAGAAACTAACAAGTCCTGATATAAGGAAGAAAGGTTTCTTTTTTATTTATAATTAAGTGATATAAAATAAAATACAAAATGTATTAAAATACTTTATTTATTACTCAGAAGTCCATCAATATTTTGGAAGTAAACTGTTCAATACATTCATATTAGAACTACTAGATGGTATCAATAGTGAATTTGGAGATGATATAAAATTACCCAGGATAGTGAAAATGAAAACTTTCTTTACATAAGAGTTATGTTGTATTTCATGATTGTGCAAGAAAATAGCAGATGAAAGTCAATATAAATAAGAGCAAAGTAATAAATATTTAATGACTAGGTCTAAATTAATTATTGCCCCTGAAAGAGATTATAGAATCATATAATTATTTATTTTGGAAAAGACCTTTAAGATCACCTAGCCCAACCACCAACTTAATGCTATCAAATTCACTATTAAACCATGTCCCTTAGTACCACTTCTTCATGTCTTTAAAAGACTCCAGGTATGGGGACACTGCCACTGTCCTGGGCAGCCTCTTTCAGTGCTCAGCCATTCTATATCCAATGTAAACCTCTTCTGTCAGAGCTTGAAGCTACATCCTCTTGTCCTGTCATTTGTCACCTGAGGAAACAGACTGACACCCTCCTCATTATAACGTCTTTTTAGATAGTTGTAGAGAGCAGTGAGGTCTCCTCTCAACCTTCCCTTCTCCAAATTTAGCAACTCCAGTTTCCTCAGACAATCTTCATGTGTGTTGACCCTCCATCAGCTTTGTAGCTCTTCTTTGAAAGGGTTTCAGCATCTCAATATATTTATTGCAGTGAGAGGTCCAAAAACACAGTACTCACCAGTACTGAGTACTGAGGGATAATCACTTGCCTAGTTCTGCTAGCCAAACAATTTCTGATGTAGGCCAGGACCTTTGGTCTTCTTGGCCACCTGGGCACATTGCTGGCTTACATTCAGACAGCTACTGACCAGCACCCAGGGCCTTTTCTGCCATGCAGCCTTCCAGCTACTCTTCACTAAGCCCACACTGCTGCACTGGATTTCAATTTAGGTATCAACTCAGTGTTCAGGGATGAAAACAATAAATGGAGGTTCCACTCTTGCAGAGGGAACAGAGAATATAGCAGAAATCTTCCATCGTACTACTGTAAAAATACAAATGCCACATGCAGATCTGGTCTTCCACCTTTTCCAGCCTGACAACACAATATTGGAAAAGACATGGTAGAGTGACAAGGCTGGCCATCCCACACATTCTGGGTGAGAAGACATGAAACATATTAGGACTTTCATCTAGGAAAGTGACTGCATCTTCTCTACAGAAAGATGAACAGGAAATTATGATTGTGTATTTCTTACGATAAAAGAACAGAGTGCAGAGTGAGATGAGTAGGTAGCAATTTCAAATCAACAAAAGGAATTTCACAGAGATCTACAGTCTACTGAGCGTTTTTTCTTGCAACATGAATATGTGGATATCAAAGGCCTAAATGGGCAAAAAAAGTGACTAAACCAACTAATGGAAAAAGAAAGAAAATGTCAAAGGTTATACACTTGTGCTCTGACATCCAGTATAAGATGTCCTCTTTTTTACTGGACAGAATGAATGTGTACCCTGGGCAATTTACTGACATCCTCTTATTGTACGCTTTCTAATCATCCATTCCTATCCCCCAAAACAGAAATCTGGAATAAACATACCATTGTTCTTCTTGTATAATGACTGTACTGCTGCCCCCAAAATACAGGCACAAAGACATTTAAGAAAATGAAGACAGGTGAGTTGGAATGTATGACAGCACTTTTTTTAAGGTCTGCTATACTGAACACTGACATGATTGCTATAGAGCAGTTCTACAGTTTGACCTTTTGTGACTAATCTCAGTTTATAAATATTGTTAAATTACAGAAATGTAATACATTCAATTTCTATTTTCCAGCCTTCAGATTACTAACAATTACCAAGCTTAGACACAAGGACAAGATTTTGAGATACTCAGCCTTCCCAAACCATTCACCCCAAAAGAGCTCTAAAAGCCCCTTATGAAATAATGATTTTATGATTAAAAGATCACGTTGTATTATCTAAAAACCTGTTAGCTTAATACTACTGAAGATACAGAATTTCCCTGGATGGTCTAACAGACAAAAGAAGATTAAAAATTTTGGTTATTGGAAAGATATTTGCTTTTTTTTTTTTTTTTTTTTTTTTTTGGAGGGGGCATCAGGGGGAAGTTTTGAGGCTGTGAACTCAGTGGAAAGTGACAGATGCTCACAATTTCTCACTAAAAGGGAGAATAGGATTCAAGAGTTAAGTCAGTGTTCTATAAATACTGCAGAAAATGACATTTCCATTTTTATGGTATGCAAATCAAAAGGTCAAGGCTGAATGCTTGTTTTCATTTCTCTGAAGTGTCTGTTCTGTCTATGCTATTTCACAGCAGCTGTGTTTCCGTCTATAATGTGTATTGCTGTAAAACAATAGTTACATGGTGGGACGTAGGTGGAACCCTGCTTTGAGGCTTTGCAGGGTGATTGTGTTTCAAATCAGCCTTGCTGTCACATCATGGAAACAAACTTTAGAAGGAAGACAAAGGAAATGTGAAAAAAGTGCAGATGCAGGGTTGTAGTTGAAAACATTTGTATAAATGCTAAATAGAATAACCTAATGGAGATGTGCTACTGTTAGTGCTAACAGCATCTTCAGTCTATTATATTTAGAAGGATCATAACCAAGTGGTCCCCAGTTTCAGCAGGGACTTGTCAGTGCTTTCTCTTATCCTCACAGAAGGAGAAAGAAGCAAGGAAGCAAAATAATTTTGCAGAGAGAAAAGAGTAAAGTGCTGAAAATGTGTATGACTGCCTAAGGATGTTGTCTTTGCAATATTTATAGTCTTCAAAACTGCAGTGAGAGCAGCATCATTCAGGTTCTGAGCACAGTAAATAAAGTATTTAGTGGTATGATCGATTCTGGGAAGAGCAACAACTTTATGAAGAAGTAACTATGATCAAATCTTCTGAATAGACAAAGCATCCTGAAAACACTTTTAGGCCCATCTTTCAATTCTAATTAAACACAGTAGGGCTGTCATTGATACCAAGAAAGAGTTGCTACTGGCTTAAATTTACTTCCACTCACATTTAAGAAGATATCTTTATCCTGTGGCCTGCATCCAAATACTCAGTATTAAATCCCCTGGTGTCACTTTTAACTGATAGCCTGCAATTAGTGTTTGATGGCCCATTGATGCATTATGCAGTTCCTCCTTCTGAGAGAGTTTTCTCTTTCTTTAATTTGCCAAGATTGGTAGAATTATGTTCTAATCTCCTGACTTCATCCAATTCATTTTGAAACATAATGTTTTTCAATTAAATCTCCCATTGGGAACTCATTCAGTGCCATCACACCAGCAAAGTCAGGTTGCCTTGATTAATTACTAGCACTCTCCCTTCAGAAATGGTCAGTAAGAGTTCAAGTAGCTGAAAAGCTTTAGTAAAGTTACTAAGTAAATCAATGTTTTATGTCATTCCAAACCTGAAGCTTCAAAGAAATCTACAAACTGAAGAAAGAAGGCAGAAGATTACGGAGGACCAGGGTTTAAAAATGAAAGTATGCAATGTTTAGAGCTAATTCAATTCCCATGCTAATAAAGCCAGTTCACTCAGGTAATAGAATTCATCAAACAGAGGATGAGTTTAGGAATCAAATTACACTTCCAGTGCTGGAGATGCAAAACAGCTGCCAGATTTACAGTTCCTAGAATAAAGGAGCTGTACCTTAAATACTCATCAGTTATCACAGAAGAAACTCACACTCATGGTAGAGATTAAACTCAGTGTTTTTCAGTCTCATGAGACCTACAGCAGGGACTGTGGTAGAAGAGCACCTATTCTAGTTCCATATTTGGAAACAGAACTTCACACATAGACCAAAGTTTGCAAATTTTTTTCCCAACTGAAATTCAGCTTGATTATCATTTACCTACAGCATTATCAGTGTGAAAAGCTTAGGGTTAATGATTAATGAAGGAAATAATCTTAAAACCACAGTTCTCATGAGAAAAAAAGAAAGTAATTGAAGGTAATTTTTCCCAAACTTTGTCTCTTTTTTTTTTTTGGTATGCAATTTGCAACCAAACTGGTTATGACTTGGAATAATTCTTTTCATTTATCTTAAAATATAAACTAAGATACAAACATAAACATTGATATATTTATTTTTAATAATTCTTTAATTATTTATATATATTCCACCACAACCATTAGCTTAAGAAGACTGTGGTGCCTTAAGACTGATTCCTGCTCAGTAGATTACAGGACCAACAGGCATTTTACTGCTAGAGATAGTAATTAAGATGTCAAGAATGTTAACTTCTTCAATAAATACTGCTTTTATTACTACATCTATTGTACCTATTTTAAATTAATTCTTAACTTGGCCTATTTTCTAAACCATTTAACTGTAACAGAGTAGACAAAGGCCTCTTGCCAGGAATTAGTTGAAATCTTCTTTCCAACCAGCGGTAGGCATGGAGAAGGGCAGAGTGAATTCCACATTGGCCTTGGAACATTATTTCTGTTCTTATCAGTTAAGGCAGTGAATATTTGTTGAGGTATGAAGATTTCTTTCAGTGTACAATCCAAGAATGAGCCATATTTTATAAAACTGACCTTCAGTAGCTTCTGAAGATGAACTGACACACCAAATGAACTTTTACCGCCAGCCATCTCACTGTTGACACATCTTTGTTAGCTGCCCTATCTCAAACATAAATCTTTTCTTTGACAGGATATGAGCAGAAATATGATCAGGAATAAAAAATAGCCATTAACTGGGAGTCACTGGAAGATTCAAAAAAGAGAACAAGTATGTTTGAAGCAGCCCATCCACAGGCAGTTTTACTTTCCAGTTCAGTCTCTCTTACAGCACACTGGAGCTCAGACAAATGACCATAATGCAGTTTACCTCAACTAAGCCAGTAGTCAATGTCTACCTAAGAATACACATTTTACCAGCAGCAACAGAAGTTAATTAAAATTCTTAGGGCTTCAGTGAAATCAGATAAACCCAAATGAAATTACATTCCATTTAACACAATTGCATGCATCACATTTTGCCATCACTAAATCATGAGCACAAAAAAAAATGTTTACTCCTCAGAAGACAGCTGTACAACTTTGCTGAAAGTTTGGGTCTTCAGAGACTTCAGACAAACCCAAGTCTCCACTATCTACCCTGCAAACCTCACCAGCATTCTTTCTCTTTTTTCTAGATGCCCCACATCCATCTTTTAACCAACTGTTATTCATCCCGATATACTAACTTGCATCTTCCTGGCTTGTTGGGGCTGAGAAATAATGTATCATAGAATCACAGAATTATGGAATATTTTGAATTGGAAGGAACCTTCAGAGGTCTCCAAGTTCCACCCCTCTGCAATTAACATGGAAATGCACAGCTAGATCAGGTTGTTTAGAGCCCTGTCCAGCCTGGCCTTGAATGTCTCCAGAAACAGGGCATCTATCACATCTTTAGGCAACTTGTTCCAGAGCAATGGCTCTTGATCATTAGGAGTAAATGGGAGAGATGCAAGGAATGCGAAGGTCTGGCTCAGCACAGCATAACAAGACTCCTGGACATCCATAGAGCACCTTCTGTTTGTGCAGCAGGCAGCAAGCAAATCTCTGACATTGCCTCAAATATTCTTAGCAATGGGAGCAAACACTGCCTCTGGGCTCCAGCAGGTCACATACACAACCCAGCCAATTTAAAGACAGGCTTGCTCTAATTTATCTCCTCTTGAGGTGTAAAGTATACAAGTAATTACAATCAGACTTTGATAAAAAGTTTTGTGTATGTCCATTATTGTTGTATTGTTGTATTGTTGACCTAAAACTCTAGGCTCTGATACTTCCTGAAATGAACTCTTCTTTGATGGCAGAGATGAAATTTGCAGTCTAATTTGGTAAATGCTTATTTAAATTTGTGCAGTTACAGAGATGTACCTAGTACAATAAAATTAAATGCTTAAAAAAAGAAAAACCTAATCCATTTGTTTTTCTTAAGTGTCCTTGCTATTTAGACATGATGGTGTATTTCACTAAAAACAACCTTTTCAAAAAAGCTGTAATTATCTTGAAATACTTTTTCTGATGTATGATAAGGAGAGGATTATTTTGAAAATGGGATATTGGCTTCATTTATGTCACAAATCCAACTCACTATTCAAGTGTCTTTGGTTTTGCTTATTGTATGCCTAGTAAAAGAGAGCACTGCCCTCTTTAGAAGAATTTGATTTTATGATTTATCAGGAGCCTTTAACTCCCACTGAGGTCAAAACTATCACACCAGTTTTTTTCAGATCAGACCCCAACAATATCTTAAAGGGTAATGGAACAGTTCTGTGAAGGCCTTGCTGCATTAATGGCTTGTAAAACGGGAAAACTTTCATCAAATTATAAGTCTCTTTGGTCAGCTTTTTCAGCTGCATTCTGCCATTCTATCTTTGGGGAGTTAGGTCCACCTCTATCATAGGCAAAGTACAGATGGATTTATTCTGCTGATTTTTCCTTCTAGCCTGAAGAGCAAAGAATGGTTTTCACCTTTCTTAGAAGCCACAGAAGAGCTGGTGGTGATTCTAATACAGCAAAATCACGTGCTGATATGCCATCACAAAAGCCTGGTAGATCACTGGTTCTGAACTACATAAGCATAAGGAACAGAGGAGTGATAATGCAAACTGCCCAGATACTCGTTCCACATTATTCACCACTTACACTGCTTTCAAAAGATGTAATTCTTCTACTTCTCTCTGACAGACTGATAACCAGGCTTGGTTTTGAACAGCCTGGGAATGAGGTGGTAGTGTTGGACCACCAAACTGAGCTCCCACAGAGATCATGAAAAGTGTTGAGCCATGATTCTTCATGTAGGAACAGAACAAACAAAAACCACTGACATTAGTTCCAGCATTTGCTAATTTGATACCTCTGCTTTCTGCCATAACCAATCCAGGCCCTATGGGTTTTTGCTGCATGAAAGTGCATCCCAGTGCACTCATCCCAGTGACATTTTTCACTTACTGCCAGGCAACTATTCACAGCATCTTTATTGTTTCTGCTCCAAGGGCAAGTTGCAGTGGGGTCATTGTCAGATTAATATCCTCATTCCCAATTTAAATACAGAAGATTGTTTAGAACAAGCTAACTCAGCTTTATTAACAGAAATTTATTTTCATTAGGATCTTTCTAATTCTGATCTTCAAACTGGCAGCCAAGTAAATGACGGGTATTTAGAGACTGTGGAATTGGTTACAAGCACTGTGTCACCTCTCTTGTGAAGAAACATATATAAAAAGAGCACAAATTACCAGGGCCTAAATATCTGCCACTGAAAAAGCATCTCACACTGATAAAGGATAATACTGTAATAGACACAGTCCCAGAAAGGTGAGGAAGGTGAACTTAATAGGTGTGAGCTCAGCAGAGTGATGTATTTTATGTCCACTGCTGAGGTGTAAGGACATTCCTGAAGCACTCCTTCCTCCCATGCCTGCAGCTCTGTGCTGTGTCAGTGCTCACGCAACTAAGGGTGACATTTTTTTCCTGTATAATTCAGCTGTTATGTTTCAAATCCTACCATTTGGAAAGAAAGGGGAAAAAACAAACAAACAAAAACACAAGATATAAATATCAAATAATCTGGGATAAAGAACATAGAATGGAGATAGCATATAACCAACACAGAGGCTGTTCAAGCTATCTTATTACTGTGATCAGATCATTTTCAGGTCTGAAGATTCTCTCCTTGCTGTGGAAAGGCTTGCACATGCCAGTGCACATAAGAGAGGCAGAACCCAACAAGCCTCAACCCTTCTGAAGGAAACTGCAGCTAGTTCTGTACCTTTTGCTAATGTGACAGGCAGCGGGACCTGGGTTGCTTCACAGCAACGTATGATGAAAATACCATAACCCTTAAAGCTCAGAGGTTAGCCACAGGTTGTGCAGGGCTGCAAGAAAAATGTTACAGGGAACTGTCATGCTTTGCTTGTTTGATGGGAGGCCCCTTATCTGTAAGTGAAGGGCAAGTCACATGCAGCTCTCTCTCCAGATGTGAGTGAAAGAAGACCAGTTGTGTCTAACTCTCTGCTTCTCACCTCTCTGTACTGCTCTGGAGGTTTATATGGATGTCAGATGCTGTCAACCTATTTTAAAACTGTGTAAAAAGGTGCAAGCAACTGGAAATCGAGCACTGTGTTCAAGGCGAGGCATTGCCATAACGTCAACATCCTTTCTGCTTACAAGGCCCCACACACTCGTCTTGGTGGGGTTTTTAATTGTAGAAAAATCCTTCTTGTCTGAATGGGAAAATGTGGATAATAGCTCGTGCAGGCATTGCACTCCCACATTCCCCTTTTCTCCATCACACAGTGACAGAAAACAACACAGATTTTGTGCCAGTTGTACAGAGCTATACAAGTCCTAAAGCATAAGCACCGAATAGTAAGACAGAAGTGCAGACCTCTTAAATTTATATTTTCAAGGACCTTTTTCTCAAATGTTTCATTATTAGTCAGGAGTTTGGTGATGCTTATTATCCTCATCACAACACCTGTCTTTTGACAGTTCTAGCTCCTAATTTGTCCTTCAAGACACGAGGGGGAGGAAGCTGTAGCAGATATATGTATATTTACATACATATACAATTTAGGTAGCACTCTAGAGAACATATTGTAATGGCTGGAGCTAGCAGTATCTTGAGGAGGAGGAAGGCAAGTGCCCCTCATTAGAGATGCCAGTCAAACAATCAAAACAGAAAAAGATAGGATACAGACTGAGGCACTAAGAGAATACAGCATATGAAAATAGCCTGCAGAAGTGATAGGCCAAGCTCACAACCATCTGATACTGACAGTTTATGAAAATATACCTGTCTGAAGTACATTTATCTTTCTCCCTTTATTTTTCTGCTCCTCCATTTTAGTCATCTACTTAAGCTTCCTTCAGAGCTTATACCTAGACTTTTGTAGCAAGAGTTTTATGATTACCAATCTCTTGATTACCCTACCACCTAACAAATGGGAACCCTTAAGAGCACTGCTATGTTCACCCCTCTACCAACACCTTTTCCCCACTTGCTTACAGAGAAGTCAAGCTCTTTACCCAGTTTTGCGGTCAAAAACAAAAACAAAAAAACAGTGCTAATTTTAACTCTTCAGGAGAAGAGGGGAAACAAGGTCAGAGAACAACAGTGTCTACTTAGTGGCTGAAATGTTTTGTCTTACCATTATGTATACCTGGTTGTATATTACCAAATAGCTTTTGCCTGTATCAATGCAGCACTGGATACTGCCTTAGCCATGGCCGGCATTTTAAAGTGGAATTGCCAAATATCAGGAGTTCATACAAACACTTTTTTTTTTCTCCTTATTTTTATTCACAAAAACACCTAAGCTGACAGCCCACTGACGTTTCACACTGGTTGTCATGGTTAGGTTTTACAGGAGATCCAGGAAGAGGGGCTTAGTGTCCGTGACTGTCAAACAGCTAAAAACAATAGGGTGCATGAACCTCAACATAGTCATCATAACCAAGCACAACAAGTTTATGGAAAGAGGCTGCAGTCAGAAATGTCATCTTTCACACTTTCTGTAAATAACTGCAGAATCATAGAGGAGAGCTTCTTTTTATCATTTTTTCCTGCTTGTAACTATAATGAATGAAGAGGGGCTACATTAGAAATACCTGTTCTTTTTTTTTCCCTGTTATCTGACATTTTATTAGTCTCATAATCCAAATTTATTATATTTTTCAGAGAGAAAAAAAAGCAAGGGTCATCTTGGAAAAACATAGAAAAAAGCATTTAAAAAAAAAAAGGAGGTAGCAAAGTTTCAGAAGTTGAATGCAAAAAGACTGAAAATATCACGAAAAATAAATTCAAATTTGAAGTAGAAACGTAATCATACCACTTAAAATACACATCTCATCATTTGGTTGAAACATTGCAAATATAAGCTGTAGTAAGAGTAACAGTTAGGCTGTTCTTTCACAAGAGTTCTGCAGTATGCCCTAACATAAAAACTGAGACATTCCGCAAAGCTTAACCACTTGATTTCCTAAGTAACTGCCTTTTCTTTTAAAGACTTCAATTTGTTGGACCAGAAGGAAGTGGTAAGCCATAGGGCGATTGAAACCCACGAGCTGTCACCACAGTGGGAGCTGATGTCTGGTCAATAAAAAAAACATAGAAAGTAAAACAGAAAATGGGATAAACTGGGCAGATTGAGCACAGTCTTGCTCTTATTTGCTTGTGAATCATGTAAACAGGTGATTTCGTTGCATGTGAAAAGAAGAAAAGCGATGCTTAGGTGTAGCTTTTCACATATCCAAAGGACTGTGCAGGCTGTGCACATGTAATTGCCTCTTCATGTTCTTGGGAAATAACGTGATTACATCTCAACTGCTCAGATGGGGCAGTTATTTCTGGTGACCATGGATTGCAGGCACTTAGAGGGTAAAAAAGGCATCTGAAATGATACCCATGCCATGCTCACTGGGGAAAGCTGGTGCCTTCTCTTCCTACAGAAGTGCTTACTGCCACTTCTTATCCAAGGAGTTACCACAGAGCACACAAGAAAATTCTTCTGCATGCCTGCAGTGTACCAATATCCACTATAAATTTATTCTGTGAAAACAGCAATAAGCCCTCTGGAGTGGATGGCAAAGTCTACTTTTCTCTTTGTCTGATACAGTAAGAAAAAAATTGGTTTGTAAGGAGGAGACTTGACAGGTTAGATATATTAGGTCATAAAGCTAATTCCTTTGCCCAGTAGCTCTAGAAATGACTGCACTTTTATGAACGCCTATAACTATGAAAAAACAGTGAAAGATAATAAATGCAGTGTTGTCCTGGTCAGTGACAGAAACTTATAACAGGCATTTCCAGGGCATTTACAAGCACAGCTAGCACTTCTGCAGCACTGATGGAAAGTG